TGAGTGCCGAGCAAGGGTCTAAATGTGTAGCCCTTCACCTATATATGGTAACATCTCTATATGAATGAAAAATTCTCGAAAGAGACAATTAATCGATGACTAATCAAGTTAGTCTCTTGTTGGCATGTTGAAATCTCTTTCTTCGGCCCATGGGCCACAACGCACAACTTAGTTATCTTGGCCCTGCTGTTCTTCAGAAAATATACTTTTTACATCCTTTGCCCCTTTAAAAATAAAATAATCGAATTCAAGATTTTTACTCCTCATTGCATGTGCAACCCAATTCTAGTTTCCAGGGGTTATCTTTTATCCGTACTTGAATCCACACAAAATTAAGATGTTTCAATTTTAATATGACAAATATGGCCTTGCAGTTCTGGAGAAAAAATTATATTCTTCTAAGTAATAAAAACATCGATCTTCAAAATGAAAAACCGATATTAAGCATACATGTATGTACAATGTTTCTTAATGCACCCTATATTTTTACCAATTTTTTTTCAAATCGGACATGGGCAGTAGGAATAGTAATTTGAAAGAATATTGAGCTTTTTTTTTAAGTTTTAGAAATAAATACAACGCCATCAATTGAAATAGAAGACAGAATACAGAATTACGTATAGTGCTGCAATCTTCAAGTATTCAGCTATTAATTGAAATCAGACCAAATGTGTAGGATGAGTAAGAAAGACACGCAGAGACTAACATACTGATGGACAATAGGTAATATGACATTTATTCTTTGGTCGAAAATTAAAGCTAAATTTTTGTGCAAATTTAAAGTTCATGAATTTTGCAGAGAATTGGTATTATTCAAGATATTAAGAAACAATTTAAATATAAATTAACAGACCCATTGATCCAAATTATAGACAAAGAAAAAAAGGATACATTTCGTTTCTTTGCAAACAATATGTGCCTGTTGTGATCAGATCGAAGAATTCGCTTTAATTTAAAAAAATGTATTGAAAAACAGAATGAAGAATTTTATCATTTTAGACGAAATTAAATGAAATGAGAATAAAAAAACATTACAAAATCTTAAAAAGATTTTGCCTATTTTAGGTCATTTTGGATCGAATTTAACTTAATAATATTCAATGGAAAAGGCCCGTGGTTAACTTTTATCTATCAAGAAAATGAAGGGAATGCATGTAAGACAGAACAGTTCAAATGAACTTCCCTCTTACGTCTTAACTCAGCATGAGCATTTATCAGAAACATATATTTTTTCGATTCAATTTCACCAAACAAATTGTGTGAATCATCATTATTTAACGTATGAAATACCCTTGTATGTCCAGTTTGCAAAAACAGTATCATCTTGATCACACACTTTCTTATCCACCTTCTGGTCAAGACGTTTAGAAGCGTCCACCACCACAACATAGAAAGCTCTCCTGGTCAGGTAAATCTGGTGACAGGCGTAGTATGCACACTGTCCTCCAAAGTCAAAGAAACTCATTGTTTTCTGTGCACCAGTGTCTGGCTTTGCTTCATCTCTGTCTTTATTAAATTTCCTTACACTTTCCTTAACTAAAACTAATGAATTTAAAAAGGTTAGTTTCAAGGGATGCGTTTGGAAGCATGAATTAAGGCACACACAATAAAAAAAGAAATGAAGAAATTTTAAATAATCTAAGAAGATTGTTTTAACAAATGCAAGAAGAGACCTATGATTCAAGAGGCCAACCTTCAAATCTTTCAGACAGCTGAAAAATATTGCATAAGACTTAGGATATTTTTCGCCCTGTGTTATATTCGCCATTTTCAATTGCAAACAATTTTGCTCCCTTTTCAATTCGCCCAGTCACAAATCTGTTTAAGAAAATTTACTGTGTTCTTTGAATTTGCCCGTTTAAAGTTCGCCCACCTATTAATAAGGCGAAAGGGGCGAAAATACACGGGTGTATACAATATAAAGATTGCCGAAAACTCTTGACAACAAATTAAAGACCATAAAAATGTAAAGTACTGTATTTACAGGCGTTTAGGAATAAATATTTTAAGTAAAAGTGTTAACAATAACTTATATATTTAACACTAGCCCTAGCAATTCATAGATTGAAGAAAGTGGGCGCTTTGGATAACGATATGGCGGAATACAGGCTAATGAAAATGATAAAAAATTATCATAGATTTATACATTTTTTTTCAATACTTAGCCAAATACTGTGTTGTAGATGAATGTAAAATGAACATATGTTTGCTTGAATATGGTATGTTTTATCTAAAAATGCACCTAAAAATATAGCCGTTCGAATAAAATGATACCAAAATCATCTCTTTCTACGCTGTTTTTCATTAATTCTGTTGTTTCTGGGTCTTCTCTTTACGATTATGAAATGTGTTATCCGGGTGTATTTTACCGTAAAATTTACTGCTTTTTTAAATGAATAGTTGACCAATACCAAAATATAAACTTTTTTTAGTTTCATGGAGAAATTGACCAAGTCCAAATGTAAAGCATTTTGGCTTTAAACAATGATGCAAATATCTTACAACACATATAGTTTCCCGGGTTGCTACGTTAGTTTAACACTGAATTTGAGTTTGATCAAACAAGTATTTTTGATTCGTAGGAACAATTTCTAAAACGAGGTAAGCTACATGTAATGACAAACAAGGATATAAACAGTCTCGTTTGAAGTCATCATTTCGCAAGTTTGGTGGATAAAATGACCTTTTCAGCAAATACGACCTATCATTAAGTCAGTCAGCATTTTTTCAAACAAATTGTTAGACCATTATTTACGCACTGTATTGTCTACGAATTTTTCCTTTTTTCCCGATTATGACAAGGAGCACACGGTGGGTTTGACAAGTCGACAGGGGATGTTCACTCCTAAGTGGTACCTAATCCAACCTCTGATGTTTTTGGAGGTCCGTGTGTCCTTCGCTCCAGATTTGTATTGTTTAAATGGATTTTGATCTTGAATACTGTTATCCATATATCACTTATCTCCATACATTTTGCATTTCATTCGAATACACTGAAGGTTTTTTTTTTTTAATTTTTTTTTTTTTTTTTTTTTTTTTTTTTTTTTTTTCCTGAAGGAAAACAAAATTATTAAATATCTTTCAAAAACTAGCATTTTTATTCCGTTACATTCATTTTTTTAGTACATTTGAACAATAAACATTAAATTATTTTGTGATAGCTTTCTGTTTTATTTAATCAGATGCAGCATAGATGTATCTTTTATGAGTCATTTAATGAAAACAATAAAAATTAAATATAAACAAACATTGATCTAAAAATCCATTCTTATGAAGTATCTGGGTTCGAAAAATGGCGAGTAATTTTGATGGGTTTTCCCCCATCCCTGGGGATTCCAAGATAACAAGCTTATGTGGTCCTATGTTTGCCCATAGTTGGAAGATCGGCTACAGATCGCAGTTCGCAAAATGGCAGTACATTCAAATGATCGTTGTTCAACTTGTTGACTTCAAGTAGACTGTACCAATGCCGGATTGACTTGCTTAAATTTACAAATGTCATATTATAAAATAACAAAATTATCTATATTTGCATTAATTTTCAAGAAAAGTGCGGCAGATATATATAAACTAAAATGCTGATAAAAATTTATATTTATAATCTTTGATCAATTTTATACGCCCAAATATATTTAAGTGCGTCATATGTATATATTTACATTCATGTATTTTGCTTATAAAGTATTATGAAAGCTACGGCATTCAAAACACCATAACACGGACATGAGGTCAAAAGGTTAAAGTATGCGTTTTATTTTGACGTCACAAACGTTGAACGCCGTGGAAATGTAACGTCATAAGCAAAAATCAAAATTCACGCTAACATTGAACAGAAGCTGTTACAACGGCTCTTCCATTAATTATAACTTACCCGAAGGATAGTACAGGGATTTTGAAATATAAATCACATTTGCAGTCAAGGCAAGGAGTTAAAAAATGTGAATATAAGTATTGAATCATTATGTTTTGAAAGATATAGTCTCATAACTGCAACGGTGTGTGCAAACAAAATTTCATAACGCGTTAACGCGCGTTACTCAATTTGTTTGCACACACCGTTGCAGTTATGAGACTATATCTTTCAAAATATAATGATTCAATGCTTAAATGAAACATTTTTGAACAGTTAATTTACAATTCATCTGCAGGTAGAGTAAAATTTTTCATTTTCCTATTCACAGCAAATACATCCAAGTACAAATGTTTGCTTTTATCAGTCACTGGACATTTCTCTATCCAGTCTATCGGAGATGCAAGCCTTTGGGCATATGGTTTTTGGTCTGTTTACCTCTCTGTTTGTCTGCAAAAACCTTGAAGTTTATCTTAATTGTCGAAGAATTGCAATTGGTGCTAGGGCAACATATTTCACGCTTATTTCTTGTGCCAATTAGGACCTTTCAGTCTTAGATTCTGCAAGGTCTTTCATATTTGACTTGTATATTGCTTGTGACAAAAATTTTAAATTTTTAGTAGACCCGTTATTTAAAAAAAAAACATTTTTCATTCAAGAAAAAGACATTCTATAATGTCAGTAGATATTAAAAACACAGAAAGATTAAGTTTTTGTATTGTCTCTAAATACCGTCTCTTCTTTTGAATTATATTTTCTCTCTCCACCCACACCCCTTTAAAAGTAACTTCACCTTTGTGACTTAAATATCACTTAAATGGATAATATATTCGTTTAACTTTAATGCATGAATACCAGATTATATATATTAGGTCACTAAAGCTTTATTGCACAGAGTTCCTTACCAACCCTCAACCCCCCACCCAACCCCGAAAAAAACCGTAAATCAATTCAAATTAAAAAAAAAAAAGAATATCAAGTATTGCCTCCTTTGCTTGTAACGATATGATAACCTATTCAAATTTCAACAAGCATACAAATGCACTTGGGAAGAAATAATCTTCTTACTGATGTTATTCAATTGTAGCTTATTTAGTAGCTATAGATTATACTGTAATACAATTTAAATACATAATTTCAAATGATTTACCTTTTAGTGTTCCTTTCTCTTCACAGATTTCAAACACTTCCTCGTGGACCTCTAATCCTTTCGTTGACTTTAATTTCTTTATTTCTTTCTTACTGCGCTTGAGTAGACGATTCAGTAGCGTGGTTTTCCCGGCCCCAGCACATCCTACAATCATTCCCCTGGCGTGATGGACTTCCTGTACTCCCCCTTTCTCGGCGTACTGGACATACCGCTCTCTTGCTTTCTGGTCCCACCTTAATATTTCTTTGGGAACTTTTACTGCCCAAATCAGAATTTTAAACAAATAAAGTGAAAATACAATGTAAACATCAAAGATACATACCACAAACAAATCTTCTCATCTCCCATACAGAAGAGTTACACCATTATGGTATTTTTCAATATTTCTTTCAATGGAAATGTAATTTAGAAATTTTACTTGTTTAAAATTAAAAATAAACCAATGGAAATATCCCCTGACACTCGGCAGTAAGAAAACTTCATGCATTTCTAAAACTTTTCAAAAATATATTGAACTGTAAAGTTTTAACTAAATAATGTGATTTGGGCAAACAAGCTGTTTCACTCCCAGGCATTTGGGTGCTGGATTCCCCCCACCCCCCTTTCCATTTTTTTTCTTTTTGAATATGGGGTCGACACACCTTTTTCCTATTTTTATACTTTAATATGCACTGTAGCAACCGCTAATGATATAACGCCGCTTAATGATACACAGATCATTAAGCGTTGCACTTTGAACGCTTAATGCCATAAATTATTGCATTAATGGTTAATCTTTTCAACCCCTAATGCTAAATCGCCGCTTAATGATAGAATTATATCATTAAGCGTCACAAACGCAGAGCAGCCTTAACGCTTAATGAAACGAGCAAATATCAACATGATCGACAGCTAATGATACAATCTAATGTATCATTAAGCGTTGCAATTGCACCCTTAATGATAAAAAATCTCACCAACCCCCATCCTCAAACCGGGAACTGGACATCATATGCATTTTAATTTGTAAGAATATGTGATATATTTTTTTACAGGGGGTGGGGGGTGGGGGTGGGGGGGGATGTCTATCATATTTCATTTCTGAAAGATCTTTGATGGTGAGATATTTTAATCACTACAACATTTTCAAGAACAAGGAAAATTAGAAAGGAATTACAGTAATATTGTGATTTGTGTTTAAACATCCTTCCGCGAATTACTTAAAAAAGAGATACTATGCAAACACAAATTTAATACAACTCTTTTCATTAAACAGTTTAGTCATTTTCCATTTTTATTGAACGCAAAGTATTAACATCAACATAATTTGCCTCATCAAACGAAAGGACAATATCTTTTAGAAGACTGGAGATAGTAAAGGATGTTCATCAGAAGCGGAGTTGTTCGGAAAAATTTATAAGCAGGAATTGCTATCCGTCAAAAAGTATTAAAATACGTAGACCATAGGCATACATTTCGAACAGAAATGAGAAAAAATGATTTAATAAAAAAAATGATGTAATGTAGTTTACAAGACCCTGCATATTTTTTTGAAATACTTTATGGAAATGAACAAGTAATCAGAGAGACTAAGGGACATGTTATAGTTAGCGAATAGTGGCAAACAGCCACGTTGTACAGCCAAGTCTCTTTTTGTGTACTAAATTGTAGCATAAGGCAAGTAAGAAACACACATCTATGTATATTGAATATCATACACACTAGGAAAGTGTCCATTGTATTTGTATATTTGGCATTCGATCATTATCATTAGTAGTATAAGGAGCCTGGATAGGCGGGTATTGTTGGGTCTGGGTGGGGAGATAGGCGGGTATTGTTGGGTCTGGGTGGGGAGATAGGCGGGTGTTGTTGGGTCTGGGTGGGGAGATAAGCTGGTTTTTTTGGGTCTGGTTCAACTGGATAGGTGGGTCAACTGAGTACACTTTTAACCCCTTGGGGGATAGGCGGGTCAACTGAGTGCATTTGATAGGATGTGGGTGGGTTAACCCTCTCTTTTGGTTAAGGCAAGATCTACGTTTGTACTACGTCTTCGCAGCGATTCAAATCCTCTGATTATACCTTATTCCTTTAAAAAGAATAAACTGTAAGTAGGTATTCGATATTAATAAAAAAAAAAAAAACATTGATCACGAATTCAAGGTAAATAACACAAACTTTTTTTTAAAGAAAGCAACAACTTATCTATTAGATTTATGTATATATAGATATACTGAAAATTGATTGCAAGAGTAAGTGTCGATATCTTAATTTGTAATACTGAGTAATTACATCATAAAATGTCAGCAAAAAATCTATAGACTATATAGAAAGTGACATACAGTCACTTATTTGCCCCCCCCCCCCCAAAAAAAAAAAAAATCCTACTATTTTCTTTAATTTTATGAGTTTATTTTTAAAACTATTTCTATTCAAAAATCATTTACATAATATATGTCAATCCATGCATCAAATTTGTATCATTAAACATATTTTGTCAAATGAATCTCTTCCTTCAGAAGAAACTAGATTTTTATACATGAAAATTCCAAATCAAGTAATTCAACAATAGTAATCTGAAACAGCTTTCTCAAAAGTCAACCTATGATATATTCGAACTTTTTTTTTACTGAAATTTTATATTTTAGAATTGGTAGTTGGTACAGCTTAAATCATTAATGCTTTATTCAAGTCAAGTTGAATATCATTTTGATTTCTCTTTATTTTTTTCGATCTCTCTCTTTAGCATTCTCTGTACGGCTGTCTGTCAGCTATCTGTCTGTTTTTCTCCAATTTAGATATTCGGAGCTTTACGAAGTTCTCTAGACTAGATAAACTCCAATAACTACTATTTTTATATGATTGAATATTAGTACTTCCTATCTCTCTGATTGGCTGAAATCCAACAATGAAGACAAAATACTACGTTATATTCACCTGCACATAACCTTCCAAGTGAATAGAAGGATCTATTTTTCGCTAAATTGGTCTAAAAATAGATTGGGAAATTCAAAATTGATATAAATAGTTTTGGAAAGCTATTTCACTTGCTACTGACTTCCACTCAGGTTAACATAACATGTAGGTAATACATGCATATAATTTGGGGAGGGGATGGTTTGGGGATGCAGGGGCTACCCTCCCCCCAAAAAACCCACTTTTTTCTGCACGTAAATTTTTACTTCTAATTTAATAGACTAAAAATATTCATCTGGTCCCCCACAATGGACCTTAATCCCACACCTTACCCCCCCCATCCCCCCCCACCCCGAAAAAAAAGTTAAGAGAATTCTCTTTTCGTTTGGGCTAATTGAAATTTTTTTCAGCTGTCATATTTTCCAGTTAACTCCTCCCCCTTTTATAAATAGATCCTATAGAAGAGCCTGATATTCTTTCTTTCTTTTTTTACATAGCAAGTGAGCAGAATTTTTAAAATTCCAAATTAAAACAACAGGTAATGTTTATTTAACCCTGCTTCTTTCATTGCATTTGGCTATGTAAACAAGTAAGATGGCATGAACTGCTAAATGAGTTTGTATCATTTAATCATTAAATCATTTAATGAAACAATTATTGCTGTTTTTTTTCAGTCAATGCGAAGATTGATTGAGCCACCTTTGGTGTACACAATTCACTTCGCCCTTCGGGCTTGGTGAATATCGAACTCCTCAGGTGGCCTAATCATCGTATTGACCTCAAAACAGCTATAATTGTATAATATTTGGTAGCACAATGGCATAAAAAATAATGTGACAAGTGAAAGTATATGTATGGAAGGTTGATGTGTGTTTCTCTTAAAGAATGGCAGACTTTTTTTTTCAAAATATATAACATTAAAAGGTGCGATTGCAACTGTTAATGTTACATTAGATTGTATCATTAGCGGTCGATCATATAGATATTTCCTTGTTTTATTAAGCGTTAAGGCTGCTCTGAGTTCGTGACGCTTAATTATGTAATTCTATCATTAGGCGGAGATTTGGCATTAACGGTTGAAAAGGTCAATCATTAATGCAATAATTTATGGCATTAAGCGTTAAAAGTGGAACGCTTAATGATATGTGTATCATTAAGCGGCGTTGTATCATTTGCGGTTGCTACAATGCACTACCTCATATCGATAATGTAACTCTCTTGTATCAATAAATCAGTCGAAAATGAAATGTTTAAAAACAACCTATTGAGACAAAAGGGTTACATTATCGATATCAGGTACTGCATATCAGAGTACAAAAAATAGGAAAAAGGGGGTGTCGATCCCAGATTTTAAAAAGAAAAAATGTGGAAAGTGGGGTCCAGCTCCCAAGTGCTTGTGGTTTAATTTAACAAATATTAGTTCTCAAGTAAGAGAGGCACCTATCTTAGGAAGAAAAACGTTTCTTTGATTTATTTATCCGTCAAGCAAGAATATGTAACATTTTTAGAATTAAATATAAAATGAATGTTGTAAAATAATAAGATGATAGGAAATGCTTTCATGCATGGATTAAAAAGCAAGGATCACGGATTATCTAGCGCATTCATTTCATTTTTTTCTCATCATGAAATAGATTATATCACTGTATTTTTATTTTTTACTGTAATAATTGGTATTTGATACAGTACAACCTGATTTCTAAATTATGTTTAATACATTTAAGCATTTTGCATTTTTTTTAATCAATCAATAATGAATATTAATGGTAGAGATATGACAAATACTCACAACGTTTACTGATCCTGACTTGAATCCACCTGTCAGACATGGTACAGTGTGTGATGATGTTCAGCTGTAGTTTGTCTATGAAGAGGTCGTACATCTTCTCCGGTCTGTCCGGTACATACAGACATCTCTCTCCCTCACTCCTCTTATACTCCCATGATCTGCAGTATTCTGATATCACGTCAAGTGACGCCGTGATCAGGAAAAACTCCAGATCACTGTCCTCCACCAGACACTCCGTGACAAAGGCGTACATGACGTCATGTCGTATATCATTTGATACAAAGGATACCTCACCATTCTGTGTTTCCTTCACCACATGCTGAAGATGTTTAACATCAACATCATTAGACGGAAAAAGCTTTTGAAAATACTTTTCTCGTATCTTTATCATTATTGACTTGAACGCCTCTCCATTTACAATGCCAGTGTACTTGTCACACAACAGTAAACTGTAAAGAAGACTTCTGACCTCTTCTGAATATTTATGATATGTACCTAAAATGAATGAAATCAAAAAGTTAAAGAGTTATGTAATGGAATAAAGGACCCGTGTATTTAAGATATAAATTCTACAAGGTTTTTTATAAAAAAAAAATGTTTTTAATGAAATAAAACATTGACTATAAATTACTTTGTTCGTCCGGGAATGAATAAAAAATGCACTCTTCATGAAAACCCTGCTGTTTTGCATGTACATACTCATATTTAGTTCCCTACCAGTGAAACCAGAGGGGACTATAGGTTTCCTCTGCGTCTGTCCGTCTGTCGGTCTGTCTGTCCGTCAGTCTGTCCCAGTTGGTTTTCCGCACTGTTTTTCTTTATGTTTTTGAGAATTGATTTGAAACTTGCTGGTTACCTTTATAGTGAGAAATTTCAGATCAAGTTTGAATTTTGTCATGTTTGACCAACAGTCGCTAGAGTAAATCTGTTTGAAACATTCCTCTTTTTTATAATCGGGTTCACGATCGGGTTTGTGCAGCACTAAATTAATATTCCAAACGAGGTTGTCATGTTAAAGATTATTCATTTGAAACTTGCTGGGTAGCTTTATAGTGACAAACTATAGATCATATTTGAATTTTGTCACGTTTGACCAACAGTGCTAGAGTAAATCAGTTTTAAACATTCCTTTTTAATAGTTGGGTTCAAGATCGGGTTCGTGCTTCACTAAATTAATGCTCCGTGTAAAAACGAGGTTTTCAGGTTGCAGATTTGACAAATGAAAAGACGTTAAGTAACATTGTGCATTGTTTTCAGCAATTTCTACCAGCGAATACTTAATATACTTGGCGAAAAAACACCAGATGCAAAAAAAGGGAAATATTTTCCAATTTGAATTGTTTTTTTTTTTTTATCGACAGTCGCATTATTCTAGCTTCAGCAATATAGCCCCCCCCCCCTCTTTTTTTGGAAGGGGGGGGATCTCCGTGATGGCGCAAGTGTGGAAGTGATTCACTCCCGCACAGTTTTCGACTCAAATCATCAGTAAATGGCTAGCCTATTTTATTGACACTTTACCTGAACTCCAAAAATATAGTTATGCAAGACATAAATCGGTCCAAAAATATACAGAACAATCAATACATTGGTTATTTTTTGTGTATGTCAACATCACAACTTGAATAATCCGCCATGTTTACTGACCCTGATCGATTTTATTTTGGGACAGCCAATGAGAATTCGGGATCAACGGACCGGATTTATTTAGAAATTCCCTCATTTTAAGCATAAATATCGCTGTTTACGAAAAAAAATATCACATGAAGTGGTTTTATTGATCGATGTTTAGTGATACCATACAGTGCAAACATTTATCTTGTTAGAAATAAGTTGAATGTTAAAACAATTTATTTTGCCTGCATTCGACCGTATTTAAAAAAAATATATATTTACACCATTACGGAGATGCTTTGGAATTGTAGCCCTCTCAAGAAAATATCAGATTAAAAAAAATCGGAGATGGCTACGTTATTGCATTAGTGTTATTCATACATAATGTGATTTTATTGTCAAAGGGTTCGAAAAAACCCTAATCCATCGTGCGTTCACTGTTACAGAAAGTAGTTTATTTTCTATTCTACAGTTTTCAACAGATATTTTCAATGGTATCTGGTCAATTCATACCTTGTTCAATTCGGACATTTATATAAGTGCCCCACAACTATAATTGTAATATTTCTTCAACAATTCAAAAGAATTTATAAAATTGTTTTTTTTAATCATGTGAGATAAGCTGATCAAAGCATGCACGAATGTCTAATGGCAGTCAAACACGTCTTTATAAGGCAGACTTCACTCCAAGACATTTCATTCATTCATAATAATCGAAATGTTCACATTTTGGGGTTTCTGTTTTCATGTAGGGTCTTATAAAATTACATCCTAAAAATAAAGGTGATACCGGTAGGGACATGTATTGCTTATGCGATACTCTCAGAATTGTAGCAAACCAGAGAAAATGCACATGAAATTTACATGCATTGAAATATACCGGTTGGAAATGTATGTAATTTTACAGAAACCCATATCCAAAAGTACCCCTTGCAGGTATAACTTTCTTAAAAGCTTTTTAAAAACGTACAACACAGTGAGGGAGATAACTCTTGCGATTTCAATTGAACGTTTCACTTGACGTTTAATTTGACTTTAATTATAAAGCGTCAAAATGACAAGCGATACGATCTCGATGTATTTAAAGGAAATTGTAACAAAGGCTTTGATTGTTTAATGAAAATATAATTCTATCATTGATCATTAGCGCATTTTCAGTAAACCTCTTCCCCTCCATAAAAAGAAAAAAGACAGATTATTCCTTAAATTTCTTAAATTTAAATTTAGTTTGTAACACGATAGCGGTGTTTTTCTTTGAAGTTTGCTGTTCTGTATTAGCAATACAGAACGGGAATGCAGTGGGCGGAGCTACTTTCCGTTCTATATTAGCCCTGTATACTGTCTTGTATTAGCCAACTGTTCTGTATCTAAAATACAGCACGGTCTAAAAATAAATATGATTCAATTTATCAAAAGCACGTACAAATAGTAAATGCTGATTTTTTTTCCTATTATAAATTTTGGAGAAATATTTCCTTAGGAAAGTAAAATGTCAGAATTTCTCAACCACTTTGTATTATTTAGAGAACGAGACAGGTACTGTATCGTAGATACAAATTGGGGGTGGACGAGTGCGTAGCACGAGTCTCCACCCCAAATTTGTATCTACGATACAGGACCTGTCGAGTTCTCTAAATGATTTGTGACACGATCAATCAAAAAAATGCACCGCCCACTTCATACCTGTGCAGCATCCAAACTTCCGCCAGAGTTCGTTTGTTCTTTCTGTAGAAGAGGCCTCGACGGGGAGTATACATCCGCAGTATATATATATTTTCACGGACACAGATTTAGTCAGATTAATTTTGACAACGGGTTAGACGAATCGTCGGTAACCCACGGGTGATTCACATCGATTCTTTCTATCATCACCCGGTTTGAGGTAGCTTGTGGATTCAAAACCGTGGTTTGCGACGATGGGGTAGACGTAACAGACTCGAAGTCAGTCTTAATTGATAAGGTGGACGATTTAACCTTGTTGTAAATTATGGAGATTGATCCGAATTTATTTTAGGGGTCTTAAAATCTCAGTTAACTATAGATACACAGACAGTGTTTCGATGGACTTTGATGTTACGGATTTTTATTTTCTTATTGAAATGCGACATTAAAAACGAAGTGAAAGAGATGTGTGGCAGTCGTCAGCGATAATGATTTAAGATGAAATTTAAAAAAAAAAAGATCCTGAAAAATACACTTGATTGAGTTTACACGAGAAGAGTGGAAAATTGGGGGGGGGGGGGAGTGCGAATTTCACGTAATGTATGCTGCATCCGCGAACCCATTGGCTTTACTATTTTGAAGGGGACACAAAAAAGCAGGGAAAGCAAACAGGTTTTCGGGAATTTCTCCAACATAGGATGTTTTCCATAATTGCGACTTTTCTTTTTCGTTTGGATCAAAATAACGTGTAGATTCTGTGCCGAATATTTTTTTTAAAAGTGATAGTGAAATTTTGACATTTTACATTCCTAAGGAAATATTTCTTCAAATTTATAATAGGAAAAAAATCAGCATTTACTATTTGTACGTGCTTTTAATAAATTGAATCAGATTTATTTTTAGACCGTGCTGTATTTTAGATACAGAACAGTTGGCTAATACAAGACAGTATACAGAGCTAATACAGAACGGAAAGTAGCTCCGCCCACTGTGTTTCCGTTCTGTATTGCTAATACAGAACAGCAAACTTCAAAGAAAAACACCGCAATCGTGTCACAATAAAGAAATATTCCACACAGAATCTACACGTTCATTTCGATCCGGGCCAAACGAAAAGGAAAATTCGCAATTATGGAAAACATCCTATATTAGATAAATTCCTGAAAACCTGTTTGCTTTCCCTGCTTTTTGTGTCCCCTTCAAAATAGTAAAGCCAATGGGTTCACGGATGCAGCATACATTAGGTGAAATTCGCACTCCCCCTCCCCCCATTTTCCACTTGTCTCGTGCAAACGCAATCAAGTCCATTTTTCAGGTTTTTTTTTTTTTTTAATTTCATCTTAAATCCTTATCGATGACCACTGCCGCACATCTCTTTCACTTCGTTTTAAATGTCGCATTTCAATAAGAAAATAAAAATCCGTAACATCAAAGTCCATCGCAAAACTGTCTGTATCGCCTGTTTGTGTACATGTATATATCTAGTTAAAATGAGATTTTAAGACCCCTGAAATAAATTAGGATCAATTTCCATCTACAACAAGATTAAATCGTCCACTTTATCAATTAGGACTGACTTCAAGTCTATAACGTCTACCCCGTTGTCAAAACTAATCTGCCTAAATCTTACGTTGTCCGTGGAAATATATATACTGCGGATGTATAGTCCCCGTCGAGGCCTCACAAACGAACTCTGGCGGAAGTTTGGATGCTGCACAGCTATAAAGTGGGCGGTGCTTTTTTTTAATTGATCGTGTCACAAATCATTTAGAGAACTCGACAGGTTCTGTATCGTAGATACAAATTTGGGGGGGGGGGGGTTGGTTGGAGACTCGTGCTACGCACTCTTCCACCCCCAAATTTGTATCTCCGATACAGCATCTGTCTCGTTCTCTAAATAATACTTTTTTTTAATTGTAATTGTAATAATACGAAGCATTTATAAAATATACAAAACTGGCGAAAATTTAACGACAGAAAATGTTTGGGGTTGTGTGTAGTACATCCTTAAGAATAAAAAATGTCCATTGTAATTGTCTCTATAATAATTTACTGAGTTTATCAAATATGAAAATCTGTTCGTTCCTTTTCCCAAAACGATTGCATTATAAAGCAGGCAGACAATTGTGTAGTGGAATTCCAGATAAGTCTTCAATTTTAATTAACTGTGGAAATAAATTTGCTTATTTATATACATAAATACTTGTAAAGCTTGATTGTCA